ATCTTGAATTTCATGGTTCTCGTTCCCTACATACATCCGTACTCACAGATATCCCTACACAAGAGATTAGTTTCATTGGCTCTCCCCCACCTCCCCGTTGTGATACAAACTGCATCACCTAACATTTACAGTCTTAGCCAAATTCTTACAAGTCCAGTTCAGTAAAGTCTGTTCACATTATTGGGAACAATGATCTCACACTCGATGAATTTTTCTAGGATGTTTCTCACTCAGCGGTATGTGTGAGATGCATGTGCTATAGTATGTGTGGCTCTAGTGTGTCTTTGTTGCTGTATAACATTGCATTTTAATAGTAGATCATGATTTTTATGTCTTGTCTGCTTTTGGTTGATATTGGGCTTGTTTCTAGGAGTTGGCTATTGAAGGCATTGCTGCTAAGAATACCCTCTTGTGTACCGTTGTGCACACATTCACACAATTACTGCGTCATGGAATATCTTTATCTTTGACACATGTGCGCTCTCCCTATAGCCCTGCATGCAAAGTGCCCTAATGCTAAACAGCTGCCCCCCCCCGGCATTCACACAGACATTCTGAATATTGATGGAGGTCCTCTGATCTGTGCACAGCTCAGCACAGGGTGGGGAGCACCCAAGGCCCAGGGTTCCGTGTGAAAGGCATGAGCTCAGCTCTCAGCTACACTGCTGCACACTGGCAGTCTGCCCTCAGGGATGCATGCAGAGCTGGCATTCTGAGGGATAGGTGTGATTATGGGGGCCGTTGTGTGCTTCTGAAAAGGTAATCTTGTGTAGAGAAGAGGCAGGGGAGACAGTGAATTGCTTTGGGGGCACACCTTGGTTGGTAAACTCCACATGGGCTTTGGCTGTTTTATTCATCAATGTATCTCAAGTTCCGGAACCACCTGTTTGGTGCGTTAAGGGTTGCTAAGAAATATTTTCCAATGAACGAGTGAATGAGGGAATGAAGGAAGGAAGGCTCTCAAGGCATGAAGGGTTTCCTCTGAGATCTTTGCAAAAAAGGTCACAGCTCTGTGGACTAAATAAATACATACGCATAGTTACCGTATATTTTTAATGCTCAAAGGAGGTATTAAAATTTGTTTTTCTCCAGCTCTCTTACCTTTTAAGATTTTAAGTTTACCATTTAGTTTGACAGAACATATATTCTTTTAATACTGTGTTTAAGTAGTGAATGTGATATGCCACAGTTTCTTAACCCTGAATAAGAAGACCCTTGCAGTTTGCTGAGAATCATATCAAAGCTGGTGAGACCTTTGGGCACCTGGTAAGGTCTGGTTAAGAATTTGACTTAGTCCTACCGGTAGTGGTAGGGGATTAACCCGCTCTCTGGCAAATCTAATTTTTTTTTTTTTTTTCCACTCTGCCACCTCCTCTTTACCTAACTAACCACTCCTTCCATCCAGTAGATCTGGGGCAGATCTAATTTAAGTCATCCCTGCAGGCAGCACAGAAATCAAGACAGTATAATCTCATTATGGAAGAACAGTGAATTTCAAAATCCAGGTTTATTCTACTTGGGCAACATTAAAAAAAAAATCTATAGCAATTCATTTATTTGCCTAAACAATTAAAAAATATGTAAATCTAAAACTGTGAAAAGGGAGTGTGCTGTTTTTATTTTTAAAATAAAAATGTATTCGAAAAGCAATGTACTCATATAAAAGTATTTTCTGCCATCCCACAGCTCTGAGGGGGAAGTTTAACATTTTTTTTTGGTATTTATTCTTCTAGTCTTTTCCCTAGAAGCATCTATATGAAAACAGGAATGGAAACACAGATGTTTTGTGTCTTGATCCCCACGGTAGACATTTAAATATAGAGCTCTATGTAAACACATAGGTACCTGCTTCATATTGTTGGATATTTTATGATCATCTGTTTAAAAAATATAAGGAGATATAAACAAGTTTATATGTATTTCTGGGCTTGTGCAAATATTTCTGTAGAGTAAACTCCTGGAAGAGGCATTGATTGGCCAAGAGACATGCAGATGTTACATTGTGGTACAGGCATTGGTAGTTTGCCCCCTGGAAGGTCTGTGCTAATTTATATTCCCACTGCTTCCACCCACAGTGGACAGACCAGAAAATGAAAAGTTCTCTTTAATTGAAAACGTAGTCATCATGAATTCTTTTCAGTGCCTGGGCGTTTCACTGGGCCGGTTCATTTAACCGAAATATCACTCTCTTTTTGGACACTCAACCCCATAGCATTGCTTAATCCTAGGGGGATGGTTGCTGTGGTATTGGTTAGTTTTTTCTGAGCCAAACCAGCTATGAGTAGTTTTTCTGTTTTTAAAAAATCAAAATATTTAATCACAGATACTGTTTTAAAGATCTTAGATCTTAATTGTACTTGACTTTAGGCTTTTATTCCTGCTCTTTAGAAATTGGCTGTCATTTTGATTGTTTTCGTAGTAATCTTCTGTCTAGCTGCTCTCAAGCCACTGTATCTTTTTCTGACCTGATAGTTCCATGTGTTTGAAAGTGTTTTTCTTATTTTTTTTAATTGATTTTTTTTAGAGGGAGAGAGAGGGAGAAACATGTGAGAGCTTAACAAGTAAGTGGCTGCCTCCTGCACGCCCCCTAGTGGACCAGGAATGGAACTGGCAACCTTTCAGTGCCTGGGACTATGCTTAACCAATTGAGCCACACCAGAAAGGGCTCTTTTCTTTTTAAAAGCCTGCCCTCCTTGCCATGCACTGGGCTTCCTGAACCTGAAACATCCTCAATTCTGGAAGAGCCAATTTCTCTTCCGACATTGCATCTCTCTACCACTCTTAACACGTCTTTCAGAATATGTAATTAGATGTACTGTGATCCTTTGTCACTCTTGTCTATGTTTCACTTTTGAAATGCTTTGTGCTGCATCTGGTTAATTTCTTCACATCTGTCTTTCAATTCATTGATGAGTGTCTTCACCTGTGTGTAATATGTGTTTTTAAAAATATATATATTTTATTGATTTTTTTTTTTTTTTCCAGAGAGGAAAGGAGAGGAATAGAGAGTTAGAAACATTGATGAAAGAGAAACATTGATCAGCTGCCTTGACCGGAATCAAACTTCTGGGACCTTTCAGTTCGCAGATCAACACTCTGTCCACTCAGCCAAACTGGTTAGGGCTATAGTATGTGGTTTAATCCATTCTTTATCTAATTTATCATCACATTTTTTCATTTCTACAAATTTTGCTTTTTTTTTTTCTTCAGGTTTGCTTTTAGTCATTCTTGATGGTCTTTCTTTTTTCATTATACTTTCAGTATCTCCTTTTAATTTCCTATGGTAGACATGGTGCATATTTAACATACTTTTTGTGGTCTGTGACTGATATTTTCAGTATTGACCACATTTGATTCTGCAGTTTTTGTTTTGTTTTAATTCTCAGTCATGCAGCTTATTTGATGTATGTGTTTAGATTGTGAACTCTCGTTCCTCAGATGGGTAGCTCGGGCATTCTCGGAAGCCTGTGCTTGAGTGAGTTCCTTGGAGAGAATTGGCATCTGCCTCTGGGTACCTGGGTCCTAGCAGAGCAGAACCACTTTGGGCCGGAGTATTTGGGTCATGTGTGCTCATATCCATAATATGAATTTCAGTCCCAAACCTTGGTGAGTACAGGTCTGTTGATAGGAATTCTCCAGCAGCATGTTTTTAGTTATTTCTACTCAGCACTAAGGATGAGATGTGTCCATGCCATCTCCCTCTGCCTGGGTTTGACCCCCTCATGCATCTGCTTTGATCTGATCTCCATCCAGTTTGGATCCTCTCATTTATCTCTCTTCCCAGCAGCTCCTGTAAATTCCTGTGTCAGGTCTGGCTTCTCTCTCCAGGTTTGAGCAGTCTTGGCATTTCTAGCCTTTAAGGATTTCCCTTCAAGGCAGTCTGTACTGATGCATTATTATTATTATTATTATTATTTTAAATGATGCCCATTATTCTCTGGTTTTTATAGACATTTATTTTGGGCTGTTGTTACAACCTGAAGCCCCAGTGGTCTGTCTAGCCAGGCATTTTCATTTCAACATCCAGCAATATTGATGGAAAAAAGGGATTTCACAGACTACACAACTGAATCCTTTTTGTGATAAGACTGTGGATTCCTTTAGATATAAAAATGCAAAAAACTTGCCTGGGAGATTGCCTTTGATAGGAAGAGCAGAGACCGGTTAAAAAGAATAGCAAGCCCTGGCTGGTTTGGCTCAGTGGATAGAGTATCAGCCTGCAGACTAAAGGGTCCCAGGTTCGATTCCGTCAAGGGCACATGTTTGGATGCTGGCTCAATCCCCAGTAGGGGGCGTGCAGGAGGCAGCCAATTAATGATTCCCTCTCATCATTGATGTTTCTATTTCTCCCTATGTGAAATCAATAATAATATATATTTTTTAAAAAGCAAAAGAATGAAAGATAGCTGCTTGGAACTATCTAAATCTCTCTCTCTCTCTTTCTCTCTCTCTCTCTCTCTCTCTCTCTCTCTCTCTCTCTCTCTCTTTTTAACACGTTTTCATTGATTTTTTTAGAGAGAGAGAGGGATAGAGAAACATTGATTGTCTGCCTCTTGTATGTCCTCTACTGGGGATCAGTCCTGCAACCAAAGCATGTGCCCTGACCAGGAATTGAACCAAGGATCTCTTGGTTCCTGGGTTATCACTCCGCTGCCGAGCCACACTGGCCAGGCTAATTCTCTTTTTAAGGTATTCTATGGTGACAGTGTTTGGAGTGGTGATCATAAAAAGGCTCCGTATAGAATTATTTTATTCTTTTTTAGAGCATATATCTCACTGTGTATTTTGGTAATTTTCCAGGATTGTGAAGAATGCCATTTCATTGCAGGAGCGAGTGTTTGCAAATAGACAGTGTAAAGTTCCTATAAGCACACCAACTTTTGGTATATTCAGAGTCTAAGTTGAACTTCTTTATACGGAGCTATTTTGGATTATGCTTTCATTTCTAGCGTGGAAACGTTTGCGGTTTTAATCAAGTCGGTTTTGCTTGTTTTCCGCAGGCCCCAGGGATGGAGGAAGTGGTCTGGGAGCAGTACACGGTGACCCTGCAGAAGGTGAGTGCCACATGCGCCGTACAGGCCACAGGTCATGTTCTCGTGTTTACAGACCGTGGGCCTTGCTTGTTTTGCCCTAAACACAGTGTTTTCAGGTGGGTAGTGCGTTGTAGGGAATAGCTGGCAATAATAACCGCATCAACAAAGATTTGTACGCTAGTATATTGTTTTGGTTAAAGTCTGCATAACATAGAAGATTCTAGAGGCTATTGAGTGCATTCATCTACTTCCAGATAAGAACAGGTTATGGAAACAATAGAGCAAAAGAGGGGAGGAATGGAAATAACCTGCACTGTTTAAGGACATTGAGGTAGCCTCTGCAACTCTCATAACTTTGACGGCAATATATAGAAAACTTTTAACTCGTTCTGTGCGTGTGAAGTCTAAACTGAATTTAAAACGTTGGTGTAGCCATCAGGAGACATGGGCTGTTCGCCTTTCTCCTTATTGTATTAAGTGGTGTTGAGTTAATTAGATGTAAAAAAAAAATAAAAAAATCCCCTTATCCAGTGGTATTGAAGATAGAAGTAATATATGTCACTATATTTAACTTTTTTAAAATGTAATTTTTTTTTTTATTGCTTTTAGATACAGGAAGAGAGGGAGGGAGGGAGAAAGGAACATTGACCAGCTGTCTCTTGCAAGCCCCCTGCTGGGAATTGAGCCCTCCACCCAGGCATGTGCTCTGACCCAGAATCAAACCAGCAACCTTTTGGTGCATGGGACATGCTCACCCAATGGAGCAACCCCTGCGAACAAGTTTTTAAAACGACTTCGTTTTAAAAGTCCTTTCAGAGGGTTTGCTCCTCTTGATTAACTGAGGTAATGCAATCAGCTTCCAGTGCATCGTGGCTGGAGAAATGCGAGCTCCGTTCCTCTTTATTCGGACAGCAGACTTCCAGGGAGGCCTGCTAGCGTTAGCCCCACTCTACACGAGCGTAGCCACTGACCGTGGGTGAGGGGTCTCTGTGCAGCTGAGCTGGACTAGAGCTACACCCCTGGTCCCCAAGCCTCATTCCATCAAGCCGCCTTAGTCAGCATCGCTGTGGTTTTCCTGGGCCCTGAGGAATTCTGCTCTCAATCCCTCCAGTCTCTGGCACTTCTTAGGGGAATGGTCAGTTCCTTAAATGGAGTCTTCCTTCTTCAACTTCTGTCTTCAACAGAAATTTGGTTTCTGAGTAAATAGGTATTCAATCAATCTGGGCAGGGAAAACACACACACCGATCAGTGTTTAGGTGCCAAAACTTCCGGGCAGTATCCGTGGATTCATCAGTTGAGGGGTTCCCCTCATTAGGCCTCATTTTTTAGTTCTGTCTCTTTTCTATGCCCTTCCACCAGCATTTCACATTCCCCTTCAACCTGGCAAAGGTGAGAGACATCTTAGGCCTGGTCTAGGGGTGGGAGCTGCCTCTGTGTAACACCAGGCACGCGTGATGGTGCTGCCAGACCCAGAGCTGTGTGGTTAGCTGTGGGCAGCCCAGCCTGTTTTGTGTTGGGGATGGTTTGTCCCCATAGTGGCCCCAGGTGGGAACTTTTCTTGAGGGGAAGTTTTTTATTCTCTGAGTAGATTTTTACATAATCAAACTCTGCTCTAGGGGTATAGTCCTATCCACCCATATCATCCAGATGATACCTGGAGGTCTAGCTTTCCTGGACACGGAACTGAATTATCTGGGCTCACTGATATCGTTCTTGTCCATGGAGGAAATGAGTCTGTATTCCCATGTTATGTGCACGTGGAAAATAATTTAATGCTGTGCTGTCTCATAAGACCTCAAATCTAAGTTTACCTTCAGACTTTATCTTTAAGATCTGTTCACTTATTTTTCACCCTCTATTTAAAATGGGCCCAACCAGCTCCTCTAACTTGGGAGTGAAATGTATTCTTTACAAAATACAGTTTCAGCATGGATTCAGTGGTGCCTGAAGCTGTCCCAGCTCAGGCTGGGATGGAGAACAGGTAGGATTGGTTACTCAACTAGCACACCCCTGCTCGGACAGAGAGTGTCACTTCCCACCCCCTGCCAGCTTCGAGGGACAACGCCAGCCAGTGCTCTCCATCTTCCCCAGCCTTCAGGAGGCTGTTTCTTTCAGAAAAGGGATTTCCCTTTATCCACCTGCCAGCTGACCAGGATGCCGCTTTATTTCGTTCCCCTCAGCCCCCTCTTCCTGAGCCAGGTCTGGTGATGGGGTTGCCCTTTCCTTTATGGAGTGCGTGTAGTACATCCTGAAAGCCACGTATGGAAAGGGTGTTTGTTTGTTTTTAAGTTTTTTTCTTTTCATTTCAATGAACAGGACTCCAAAAGAGGATTTGGCATTGCAGTGTCCGGAGGCAGAGACAACCCCCACTTTGAAAATGGAGAGACGTCCATCGTCATTTCGGACGTGCTTCCCGGCGGGCCCGCCGACGGGCTGCTTCAGTGAGTGGCCTCCCTTCCTGCCCTGGCCCCCGCGGCCCCCGGGGTCGGCCCCGGATAAGACGCTGTGTGTGTGTGTGTGTGTGTGAAGTGTTCACTATAAAGTAATATTAAAAAAGCATATGTTTACGTGTATGTATATATGTATGCGTGTGCTTTTATATGCATACGTGTGAATTTATAGGAGAATTAAGGCCATGGCACACCAGTCCTTTGGTGGCATCCAATCAGAGGAAGGAGAACAGTGGTTCCTTAGGAAGGCCGTTCTAACTATCACCGCTGTCGTTCCTGGGCTCAGGGGCCATTTCTGGACATGGAATAGAAGATTGGCATTGCTGCCCCCCCACTTCCCTGCCAAAGCGTACCCAACTCTACTTATTTTAAATTATGTTCATTAATTTAATGAAGACATTCTGGCTTAATGCTTGTCTGCTTTGTAAGAGGGATGTGGAAACTGGGAAAATTTACTGCATGGAAACACAAGCTTTCCAAGTGCCACCCTTTTCCTGGTCTGAAGAGAGAATGCTGTTAGAAAGAATGCATCTCCGAGCCCCTCAGCATCAATTCTCAGGGCAGAAGCGAACGTTAGTCACGTGACTGCCGTGGCCAGACAGACAGCTCCAGAGTGTAGGATCTAATGGCCTCTCAAGTCTCCACGGGGTCCTATCGAATTTTGTAGTGCTACGGAGAGGAGAGGAGAATTTTGCCATAATTTTTGGAGTGAGATAAAGGTAAGAGCGTTCTGTGACCTCAAAATTTCTTTGCAACTCTGAGGCACGTTCTTGACTTCTTCCTGTCCAGAGCTTAAGTGGATACGAACCTTCCTTGAGGGTCTGTGTAGACCTGTGTGCACCGGGGTAGGAAGGCCGGTGCAGGAGGCCCTTGGTGCTCAGCCCTCACCCTTGTCAGGTGGCTCCTGGGGGGCCCCTGAGGTTTGGGTTCTTCCCTCCCCGCTGTTCTCAGGAGACACCGTTGAAAGTGGGCTGATGACTCCTGGGTTCCTGCCTTGGGAGTCCTCGGACATGGAGCCCTTCAATCCATATTTCACATCCTTTTTTGCTTTTTCCTACGTAAAAAACTGACAGTGACTAAACGGGAGTTTTTCACATCTCGCTTTTATTTTTTGTTTACAGAGAAAATGACAGGGTGGTCATGGTCAACGGCACCCCCATGGAGGGGGTGCTCCACTCATTCGCCGTGCAGCAGCTGAGGAAAAGCGGGAAGATCGCTGCCATTGTGAGTCCCGGGCTTATTGCCTCTCCCTCAGTAGAGTTTTGTTTTTATGCCCAGAAGAAAATGACCGCTTACCTTTAGGCACCTGACAGGCCTACATCATCGAGGGGCCGTTCCCTCTTGTATCCTCTGTGCTTTAGGAGGGCGCTGTAGTGGATGAGGGAGAGGTGTATGCAAATAACGCCTCCCTGCCTCTTTCTCGTCTTTCTTTGAACTTGGTGTGACCAAGGACTCTTTCATCTGAGTGAGTTTTTTACCTTCAGGGCCAGGGTAGACGATTATTCTCCATGAGAATTGCCTAGATTGAGAACAGGGATAAAAAGAGCATTCATGGAGAAAATACGTTTTAGCTCAGAAACTCATTGGTAACGGCCCAAACAAGATCTGTTATGTCTTCATAAACGGAAGTTTCTTAGGAGAAGGTGGCCGTCTGTAGCATTCGTTCAGTTGCTCTCTCTCTCTCATGGTTGAGAATCAGCAGTGAGCCCTGCAGCAGGTCTGCCCTCTCTAGCGAGGCTGGAGACACACACAGCAGGAATTTGGAAGATAGTGAGTGTAAGGGCAGGGTTGGGGGATGCACTGGGTATGTGGTATTTTATTTTTTTTAAAACTTTATATTGTGAAATTTTTCAAACAAAAAGTCTAAAGATAAATGTAATAAATACATGTGTCTTCTACATGTTAACATTCTGCCATACTGACTTTTTTTTTTCTCCATTTGTCTATAAAAACACATACATATTTTTAGTGAACCATTTGAAGGGAAGTTGCATACATGGCAGTTCAGTTCTATTTCACCATATGTCTTTTCACATCATCTACATAACTGCACTATGGTCCTCGCTAAGAAAACGAACAAACTCTGTAACATCATCTAATATCCAGTCCACATCCTAAGGTTTCTTTGATGGACTTCTTTTTTCTCTTCCCCCTGGGATTCTATCATAGTTCATTCATTGCACCTGGCCTTTGTCTTTTTCGTCTTTTCTAATCTAGAAGGATTCTTCTTTCTCCCACATCTTCTCCTAACCTCCTCCCTCACCCTCTCTTTTAATGACACTGACTTTTAGAAGAATCTAGACAGTTGTGCATAGACTGTCTCACTTTCTGGATTTCCATTTTTGTAATATAGTGTTAGAGTCCCTGGGTACTTTTCACTCTCTGAGTAGAAGCCTGGGTTTTGCAGGCATTGTGTTGAGACCATTATATTCATTGTCTGACTTGATTCTCGATCCTATGAGGTCTTTATTGTCCCTGTTTTCCAGATGAGGAACCTGAGGCTTAGGGACACAGTTTTACTAGATGAAGAACCAGAGCTTTTAGCCATGACATTCTCTTACGTTGAATTGTGATTGTCCTACCCCCCCCTCCCGCTGTGGTTAACAGGTGGTCAAGAGGCCCCGGAAGGTCCAGCTGGCCCCGCTGCAGGGTGGCCTTCCGCTCAACGAGGAAGACCGGGCTTTCGAGGTGATGGATGAGTTTGACCGGAGAAGTGCCCGCAGCGGGTACAGCGACCGGTACAGCGAGAGGAGCCGGCTGCACAGCTGGGAGAACAGCCTGGAGCGGGGGCATCCGCGCGACCGTCCGCGCAGCCAGGAGCGGGACCGCGGCCGGAGCCTGGAGCGGGGCCTGGACCACGGCGACTACGGCCGAGCCCGAGAACGGAGCCGCGGCCGCAGCCTGGAGCGGGGCCTGGATCGTGACGACTACGACGGAGCCCGAGACCGGAGCCGCGGCCGGAGCCTGGAGCGGGGCCTGGACCAAGATTACTACGATGGAGCCCGAGATCGGAGCGCGCGCGGCCGGAGCCTGGAGCGGGGCCTGGACCACGACTACGGGCGAGGCCGAGACGGCAGCCACGGGCGAGGCCGGAGCATCGACCAGGCCTACGAGCGGGCCTACAGCCCGGAGGCGGAGTACCGGCCCCGGGGGCAGCCCGATGCCCGCTACAAGATGTCCCGGAGCTGCGAGCACCTCCGCCTGGGCAGCCCCACCCCTGAGCCGCGAGCGCGGCGGGACCGAGAAGCTGACAAGCCCATCGGAGTCCTTCTGACGAAAAACAAAGCACATGAAGGTAGGGTGGCCGGTGAAGAAAAGCCCTCGTGTAATCACAGCTAGCTCTGCCGTGGCATGTCCTGTGTCGTGCCACTGACCTACACGCTTCCCCCCACCCCCGCGCAGCTCACACCATCCTCATCGCTCCCTCACGTAGCAGTTAGGGCGTCTTCCTTTTATAGACGAGGAAACTGAGGCACAGAGCGGTTCATGGACTTGCACATTGAACTAGCCCAGGCTGCAGAGATCCGGCTTTTAATTACGAGGCCAGTGGTTCTCAAGGCAGCACAAGCAGCACCTGTGCACGGGCTAGAAATGCAGATTCTCAGGCCCTTGTCGCCGACGCAGGATCCCTGGGCTGAAAACCTGGAATCTGTTAACCCGTCCCCACCCCATTCCTCCACCCCCAGTGAGCCTGGTGTAGCTTACACTGATGAGACCACAGGAGAGAATAACATTTTGGTTGCATTTTTCCTCTAGGCCAGGACTTAATGCTGTGCGGTATAGGTTGGAGTTGGAGAGTTCGGAGAAGGTTTTGGTATGCCTAGGATAGCACAGGGACGTGGGCCTAGGGAATGGAAAAGTACCCAGTGGCTGGGAAGCCAAGTTATGGCCAGGTGGCCAGAAGGAAGGTCAGATAAGCTGACCACAAGAATGCACCACCCCTCCATTCCCAGCACCCCCCCCCCCAAAAAAAAAGTGCAGAATTTTATCTTTCTTCTAACCGCTTGCTTTTCCTACCCTGATGTGGAAAATTCCACAAGCCCACCTTTTCCTAAAAGCCATCGTTCTGTGCAAGCCCGCTCCATCTCCAGCTTAGAGAAGCACCTCCGCAGAGCTGGCCCTCAGCCAGGTCCGAGGGCCTTCCTTGCCTCTGCGCTGTCTCCCTCAGCTTTTGCTGGTGCTGGAGCGTAAGCTTAATAAACCTGCCTGGCGATTTCTGCAAGGTTTCCTCTTACATTCTGTCTTGGGAACCCAAGAGCCCCAATGCTGGTAGCGCGCCCAGGCCCAGGCGCGAGGCGGGCCGTGGCCAGGCTGCGGGTCCCACGTCCAGTCCAGGATTCACTAAAACCCTGTGGCAGCGAGGGGAGCTCCTAGCCCCTGCGTTTAGGTGAGGATTCTGGAACTCAGAGGGGAAGCAGCTTGCCCACATCTTGAAGCCAGGGGGTGGGTGGTGGAGCTAGAATTCAGATTTCCATAGGGGAGAAGGGACAAGCAGGTGAATGGGTGGGCTGTAGAGCCTGTTGGTGTGATATTCCTTGCGTTGGTTTTTGGCTTCTGACTTTTTATTTTTTCATTTTTTATTGATTTTAGAGAAAAAGGGAGAGAGAGCTAGAAATATCAACGATGAGAGAGACCATTGGTTGGCTGCCTCCTGCATACTCCCTACTGGGGATCGAGCCTGCAACCCTTGGCCAGTATCAAACCTGGGACCCTTCAGTCTGCAGGCCGATGCTCTATCCATTGAGCCACACTGACGAGGGCTGGATTCTGACTTTTTACAGTTCTTGTAACAAATCTTTTTTCTTGTTCTCTAATTGTTCTCCTTCCAAAGGGGGGGGAGAGGGAAAGAAGCAAAGTGAAAAACTTAGTGTTGTCCAGGTTGGAAAGTTGCCTTAAATAGCCTGTCTCTGAGAAATGTGCATCGCAGGAGGCTTAAAGATTCTATAGACTTTCTTTCTTTCTTTAAATATTTTTTTATTGATTTTTTACAGAGAGGAAGAGAGAGGGATAGAGAGTTAGAAACATCAATGACAGAGAATCATGGTTCAGCTGCCTCTTGCACACCTCCTACTGGGAATATGCCCGCAACCAAGGTACATGCCCTTGACTGGAATCGAACCCAGGACCTTTCAGTCCGCAGGCTGACGCTCTATCCACTGAGCCAAACCAGTTTCGGCTCTATAGACTTTTTCTAACCTTTTATAATGACATTAATTCATCAACCCACAAGAAATGCAAAACTGTACTAAGTACAGTGTTTTTTCTTTTGAGAGTAATTCATTGTTCATAAAACCTCAGAGCTATGCTGGTTTTAGTTAAATACTTTATTGCTTTGCCTGGTTTGTTTACTCCTTTTCTTCACACACTGAAATATTTTCATTGCTAAACCCCACACAAGATAAGCTGTTACAGATGAAGGCCTTTCTGTGGGCAGTGCCAGCAGAATTTTGTGTGTGTGTGTGTGTGTGTGTGTGTTTTATCTCCCCAACATTTTATTTAGAAAAGTGTTAATTTTATAGCGAATACTCATACATAGCCTTCACCTAGTTTTAACATCATTAACACATTGAACTGTTGTTAACATTTCGCCACATTTGTTCTCATTCTCCTTGCCTTTTTCCACTCTCTCCTCTCCTTTTCCCTCTCCCTCATCATGGGGAGCTGTATTGCATGCTCCCTTAACCCCTGTCTCCCAGTGGGGTTCTGGAACCACTTAAAAGGAAGTTGCAGGCAACATACAAATAATTCACCCTTAAGTATTCAGCAGGTATCCCCTGAGGCTAAGAACATCCTCCTACATAATCGTAATGCCTTTATCACAATAGCATTAATATCCGTTTTTAATATATTACAGTGCAGTTTATTTTGCAGTTGCTCTAAAATAATGTGACCCACCCCCTACCACCTCTTCTCCACATTGGGTCAGGGATCCTTGTGAAGGTTCTCGCATTTAGTTGTTATGCCTCTTATTAATATGGAACAGTCCCTTTGCCTCTTTTATTTTGAATGACATTGACTTTTTAAAAGTATACATTTTATTGATTTTTAGAGAGAGAAGAAGGGAAAAGGAGAGAGAGAGAGAGAGAGAGAGAGAAAGAGAGAGAGAGAGAGGGAGCGCGAGCGCGAGAAACATTGATTGGTTGCCTCCCGTTAGCACCTCAACCAGAGATCAAACCCATAACCTGGGCATATGTCCTGACTGGGAATCGAGCCCGTGACCTTTTGGAACCAAGGACAACGCTCAGCTAAGTAAGCCACGCCGTCCAGGGTGACCTTGACTTCTTTTGATGACTCGAGGCCAGTTCTCTCACAGAATATCCCACATTCAGAGTTGGTTTTCATCTGTCTTTTTAAATAGTTCTGAAAGCCAGACTAAGTGTTCTGAGCAAGCTGATGAGATGGGTGTCTGTTTCTGTTGGTCCTCTAGAGTACGGTCTCCGGCTGGGGAGTCAGATCTTCATCAAGGAGATGACCAGCACCGGTCTGGCCACCAAGGACGGCAACCTGCACGAAGGGGACATCATCCTCAAGGTGGGTGACCGGGCGAGAGGACGGTCAGCTTCGAGCTGGGCTCCTCGCCTGCGTTTCCACACTCAGGTGGAACACGGTGGAACGTGGCGGACGGGGACGCGGTAGTAGGACAGAGGCTGGGAAGAGCAGCACAGTGAGATCATTTTTATCAGAAAAACCAGACTTGGAGAACGCTGTCCTAGTTTAATAGCAGTTTTTAAAAATATATCACTGAATACTTTTTTTCCCCCTTCCCTGTGTGTTTAAAGTTTAAGCTCCTATTCCCTAAATGAAGGAAAGATGAGAGGGAGAGTTGGTGGTATATGAATGCTGAATATTTAATAGTTTTTGTAAACCTCTCTGGTCAGGAGACACCTTCCGGTAGTAAGCCAAACCATCGTCTTGAGCTTGGAAGGTAAATAAATTAGCAGAGTAACTTAAGTACATGACAGCGCTCTCATACCTGTATTTGGGGTTATAGTTAATTGAAAGGATAATGCATTTTTACTCAGGCCCCCCTCTCCCCCCCCAACCCCCTAAATTCCAGGACTGTTTGAATAGACGAGCAAAGTCTTTGACATTTTTTTAGTTGGAGAAAATGTTGGTTTTCTCCTTTGCCATAAATAGCTGTATTGCATGTACTATTCCTGTCCTTTTTGAACACAGATAAATGGCACTGTAACTGAGAACATGTCTTTAACGGATGCTCGGAAACTGATAGAAAAGTCAAGAGGAAAACTGCAGCTGGTGGTGCTGAGAGACAGCAAGCAGACACTCATCCACATCCCAGCGCTAGATGACAGCGACTCGGAAGGTAAAGAGGAGGCTGTGAGCAAGGCTGGAAGCCCCGTCGCGTCCGCATGCTCACCTCTGTCTAGCCCAGCCATCCCACGGGAAGTTCAGTTGCTAGTGAAAGCCTCTCCGTGAAGCTCTGGTTCTGAAAGAGAAGTGTTCGGTTCTTATTGTCTTGTTAAAGTGTCTGTTGAAATCCGGTTTCCCATGCGAGATTCTGGTGCACTTGTGAGTTCCCGGTGGACACGGATTAGGCTGCTGAAAACAAAATGGTAGTAAAACACGTATTCACGAGAAGTTCAAAGAACTAACCACATACATTTGTAAATTGCTCATTCTTGCACGTGTTTTTTTTTAATATATCTTTATTGATTTCAGAGAGGGAGAGATAGAAACATCAATGATGAGATAGAGTCATTGATCAGCTGGCTCCTGCATGCCCCCCTCTGGGGATTGAGCCCCTGCCTGGTTCATGGATTGACACTCAACCACTGAGCCACACCAGCTGGGCTCCTATGTTTTTTTTAAAGTGACTATTAATATTTCCAACAAAGAGAAGACAATCTGGAGGATAGCCTAAACTGGAAGACACTGTAATGAAGAATCAGAATGGCTTATATTGTGTATTCAGTGGTTAGCAATCCATGTCACCTCTTTTCTTCTAAGGCATTATATTTCTCAAATATGAAATATTCCCAGGATAATACTTGAATCATCTAACAATTACCAATAAACATAAATAATCACGATATATCCTACTGAACCATCTCGAATTGCCTTTGTGTGGCGAAGTTTAGAAAAAACATTATTAGTTTCTCAAGTGTTAAAACAGATGTTGATTTTGAAAAGAATGGCTGTCTAGAGCTTAGTTTAATTCCCGTTATATCCATCATCTAAGCCGTTGTTACTGCTATGAACAGTGCAGAGAGTCATCCCAGCATGCTGAGAGCCTGGCGTGTGTTGCCTTGCTTTTCAAAGTGTGGTCCTCACCCCACCGGCAACCTCAGCAGCATCTGGGAGCTTGATACACTTGCAGTGTCTCCGGCCTCACCCCAGGACTGCTGCATTATCACCCCAGAACAAGAGCGTGGATGGTTTGTGTGTGCATTAATGTTGGAGAAGCGTATACGTGTGACCCAGTCTTCAGTAGCAGCTTTGATTGAAAGTGTGATGAAAGAGGGACCTAGAATTCTTTATTGGGCTTTCTTTTTATTAATTAACTAGAGGCCGAATGCCCTAAATTTGTGCAAAGGGCTTGGCCCTCACAGCCACGGTGGCTTGCCTCAGTCCTCGAAGCCCCGGAATGCCGGATGTTTGGCCATCCGGTCTAATTAGCATATTGGACTTTTATTATTATAGATGCCCTCTCCTTCCGACAGAACATGTTAGAAAAAAATGTATATACATATAAAATGTGTATAATCCCACTATCAGGGTTTTTTTTTTTTTTTTTTTTTTCCCACTTTGGGAAAAGTATTAGACTAATAGCACATTTACCGCCTGCCTCTCTTCCATTTCCCCTATTTCCTAACCCGAGTGAGGATAATGTCTGGTACAAGTCTTAAGCATTTCATGGCAAAGTCTTTTCTTATTGTTGAAACCAGATCTCTCGGAAATAGAGTCAAATCGATCGTTTTCCCCAGAGGAGAGACGGCAGCCATATTCCGACTACGACTATCATTCCTCCAATGAGAAGCTGAAGGAAAAGCCCAGGTGAGGCAATGTGTGTTTCCCCTCACACATGCCGCTGTGCGTGTGCACACAGAGGTGCGTGTGCACTGGTCACATAATGAGATGTTTACGCGCCGTGTGCTTAAGTTCCAGGGAGGACATCCAGAGCAGATGGTCCCGGATCGGCTCCACACCCACTCCCTTCAAGTGCGCGGGGGACATCGCAGCCGCTGCAGAGACCAGCCAGGAGCCCAAACACCAAGAGGAAGCCCCCGGTAAGGCTCACTTTATTTACTTATTTTTTTTTTAAAAATATATTTTATTGATTTTTTACAGAGAGGAAGGGAGAGAGATAGAGAGATAGAAACGTCGATGAGAGAGAAACATCGACCAGCTGCCTCTTGCACACCCCGCACCGGGGATGTACCTGCAACCAATGTACATGCCCTTGACCAGAATCGAACCTGGGACCTTTCAGTCCGCAGACCGACGCTCTACCACTGAGCCAAACCGGTTTCGGCTATTTACTTATTTTAAATACATTTTTATTTATTTCAGAGAGGAAGGGAGAGGGAGTGAGAAAGAGAGAAACATCAATGATGAGAGAGAATCACTGCTTGGCTGCCATCTGCACAGGTCTTGAGCCTGCAACCCGGGCATGTGCCCTGACCAGGAATCATACCATGAGCTCCTGATTCATAGGTTGATGCTCAACCTCTGAGCCACACCAGCTGGGCAGGTGAGGCTCATTTTAAATAAATAAATAGTCCCTTTTAGAAGTTTCTGCTCAGTCAGTCCAGAGGATGGCTGGGAGGAGAGAGAAAAATTACTTGAAAAGTCATCCTCAAAAAGGAAGAGACACCTTGCATTTTAGAGGTTCATTTCTCACTTACTTAGGAACGATTGGCACTTGCCATCTTAAAATTAAACTTCACTCTAAAGACTTAACATTTGTGGTTTAATGTGATGACACGTATGTAGCATAAAGGTACAGAATTGAATTTTTGGTGGGTTTCACACACACACTCCTTTTAGTCCAAGTCGATAATGACAGGTGCTTTCTAACCCACAGCTCCTCAACCGAAAGCGTTACCGAGGACTTTTCTTCGTCCCAGTCCTGAAGACGAAGCGATTTATGGGTATGTGCTCCCGTCTCTCTTTCCCTGTCTTCTTCCCCATAGCTCTTTCTCCTGAACTGAGATACAGAAGAATGGCGTTTTTAGCGATGGATGGTGATTTTGCATGTAATCAGCCACCTTGTACTAACCCCTGTTGCCAGTGTTCATGAGAAAGAGAAATCATTTGTGGGGGAGTGAAGTGTGGAAATGGGAGAAGTGGGTGATGTTAGCTGGGCCTACTGTGTCCTTCCCTGGCCACAGAGTGTAATTCTGGATGTTTGAGTTTGGCAGCTGGGTAACAACAGACAGGGGGCGTGCTGCTTACCAGGTGCCGCTGTTGGGCTGCAGAGACAGGAGGATCCCAGGGTGGGGGAGGGACGGGACGCCATGCTGTGCACTTGACCATAGTCAGTGTTCAAGAGCAGCAGCTTTCAAGGTGGCTTTCTTGAACCCGGGCTGTGTGTCCATTTGGCAGGAGCCCTGGCTCAGAGAGGCTTGATTAGTTTATACGGCCTTGATTTTAACCCTAACCTTGCCCTTTCTTTGCTTTCTAATCTGGAGTGAGCTCCCATGGACATTCTATGTTTTCACTTCAACACTGGTAAAGTGGGCCTGTTATATTCATCGTACAGTCCCAAGGAAGATAATATTAACACATGCCAGGAGAAAAATGAGACTATACATCGCTCTATAGGAAGAAGAAGTTAAATCTCTCATCTGCTCATGTTGGTCCCCTTTTACATAAATAATCTTCCATTTTCCCTCTCGGAAACTGGAACCATCGAAGCCCCAACACCAAGATGGTGAGGTTCAGGAAGGGGGACAGCGTGGGCCTGCGGCTGGCCGGTGGCAATGACGTCGGGATATTTGTGGGCGGCATTCAAGAGGGGACCTCAGCAGACCAGGAAGGCCTTCTAGAAGGTGACCAGATTCTGAAGGTAAGAAAAGCCCCGTCTTGTGTCTGGAAGTTACTGGGAAAGAGTGGGGTTTCTGGCTGTCTTCCGTAAGAGAGGGAGAAGGGGTCCCACTTGTGAAATAGGTCGGCTGCAGGTTTGTCAATGCCCGCAATCAAGGTCTCAGTTTCCCTGAAATGGGTCTTGTCTTCTCAGTTCTGGACCCAAAGTCACTCCTGGGTGGGAATTTATAATGTTCAAGACCCTTTTTATTAACAAACAAAAACAAACAAAAAAATCAAGACTGTAGCTAAAGCCTAGGAAGAAGATCTTTCAAAATATCTTGCTGCCCTAGCTGGTTTGGCTCAGTGGATAAAGCGTCAGACTGTAGACTGAAGGGTCCTGGGTTCAATTCTGGTCAAGGACACATATCTCCTGCCCTGTTTGGGGCGAGTGTGGCAGGCAACCAATCGATGTATATCTGTCATATTGATGTTTTCCTCTCTTTGTCTCTACCCTTCCTTCCACTCTCTAAAAAGTCAGTGGAAAAATATATTTGGGTGAAGTTTAACAACAACAAGACAATCTTGCTAATTTGGGTTTATTTTTTAAGTATATATTTATTGATTTCCAAGAGCAAAGGTCAGGGGGAGAGAGATAGAAATATCAATGATGAAAGAGAATCATTGGTCAGCCACTTCCTGCATGCCCCCTACTGGGGATCAAGCTCACAACCCAGACATATGCCCTCACCTGACCGGGATTTGAACCGTGACTGCCTGGTTCATAGGTCGACGGTCAACCACAGAGCCATGCTAGCCGGCCTGTAATTTTGTCTTTCATTGATTTCCCTGTCTGGTTGTCACTCTCAGGGCAGTGTGCTGTAATTGAACAGAGGTGGGTGTTGGCACCAGATTGTCTGATTTGAATCCTATCCCAGGCTCTCATTAGTCCTGTGACCCTGGCTCAACCTCTGAGACTCGGTTTCTGTCTCTGTTCAGTGGGGATAGGAACACCAGCCGTGCAGGGACCCTGGGAGATGAGCGTAGATAACATAGTTACCTGGCGGAGTTCCTGGCACAGAGCACGAAGGACCATGTCCCTTCTGCGCCCACTGGAGAAGAATAAGTTGCTGCCGCTGGATGTGTTATTGACATCCGAAGCCTCCCAGGAGGGGGCTTTCTTGGTTAATCAAATATTAGAACTTTTAAAGTTACTCTATAGGAGTCTGTGTAATCTCTTGGTTTTAAAAAGTGATAGCCAACGCAGCTTGGACGTTTTATGCGATAGGTGTGATGTATTTCCCAGGGACTTCGGAATAAATTTCAGGAAGGTCAGGTACCTCTCAGCTGTTCCAAATACAAAATGCTGGGATTCCTGATTCTGTAAGCGTGCATCTCTTCTGTGGGAGTTCCTTGGGGGTCTGGGAAGAGCATGTAGGCTCAGAGGAGAGGGGTGTAAACATGAAATTCCTGAGGGAGCAGGACGCAGAGCACCAAGTGGGCAGCCCTCTAGGCTCTTGGCTCTTGGTCCCGCTGCAGTAGGTGAGCTCTCATTTCTGGAGCACACGAAGGGCAAACCTAGATCGTGAGCCTGGCGGAAGCTGTCCAGTGACATTCTAAACCCTCTTTGGCTCTGGTCAGGATCCTAGAAGACGCAGTGTACCTGAGTGAACCTTGTGGTGCCACCTGATCCTAGGAAACATCACTTACCAAGTGCTACTGATAAGAGTTCCATCCAGTGCCAGCTCATACCAATTTACTCCTGGGTCGATGCCAAGGGAGAGAAAACGTGTTTCCTAACTAGTATTGGGGCCGTCGTAAGCCAGGTTGGAGTTATGGATCTTTTGCTCAGGAAGGATCAAGAATAAAATATTTTTTATTTACGGGGAATAAGGTTTTCTGAATTTCCATGGGAAAAACGAAATAGGGAATTCACAGAGGGACTTGACAGGTTGACCTCTCTGTTAAGTTGCTAAAGCTGGGAGAGTCACTTCCATGGGTAAAAGCTGTAGTATCCAACGTTTATTCTTAAGAAAGTGTCTTGTTTCCTGTTTTCACTTGGCGACAAGGAAGAAACCGTGGGAACTGGCTTCCTGGCTCCTGATTGTGAGTCAGTTTTCTGAGGACCACAAGAGGGATGAAAAGGATGGGCAGGGAGGCCAATCCACACGCGTGAGCCGAGGCTGATACAGACGCCTCTTTGGGCTCCCAGCGGGCACGGGAGACCCTGTCAGCTCCTAAATAGACAATAAGAGGCTTTTCCTTAGAGAGGACTGTACAGTCTAACTTTCAAAGAGTCAACGTGCCGCCCCGTTGTTATTGTTTCCACTTTAATTTGTTTCAGAACTCCTTTACATGGTGACATTGAGTCTGTGTGGTGCACCATGTACAGACGCCAGCCACTGTTTTGTATCCCAGGGGTTTGAAGTGTGGCTCTTCCTTTTGTCAGGTGACAGCCTGACCTGTGGAGAGAAGACAGGAGTGGGCTGTGCTGCGGCCAGGGAGTGTGTGGCCTGTAAATAACAGAAACAGACATGCCCTGGGGCGAGGCCGGGCTGTCTCTCTGCTTATTATTGGTCTGGCAGGGTTGTCATTTCCTTTCAGAAATTTTTAGGGGATGGAAAAGAGAAAACAAACAAACAAACCAAAAAAAAAAAAAACGCCTTTAAGTTTGCTCATTAGCCATGTGGATTTTACAGGGTAGCTACCCTGTGTGCTTAAATTTTGACTATTAAAAGTGTTTTGGCTTAATGGAAGGTCAGTTTCTCATGACAGTAGAGATGGACAGAGGGACCTTTAGGGCTTTCTCCAGGCCTATGTCCCTCTTATGTAAATAAAGAAATAGAAGCATATGCATTCATATAAAAACATACATGTGGCCGTTTATAGACACAGATGTAGATCTACAAATGGCATAAGAAAGCATCAGTGACAAAGTGCAATCAATGACCCCTAATTGGGGGATAGAGAGATGAGAATGACAGTTGTCTTAAGTGCTAAATATTGTTTCAAAGGGAAAATTAATGTGGTTGCTTTAGCAGATCATTTTATTTTAAAAGTACCGAGTAAGCCCTAACCAGTTTGGCTCAGTGGATAGAGCGTCGGCCTGTGGACTCAAGGATCTCAGGTTCGGTTCCTGCCAAGGGCATGTGTCTTGGTTGCGGTCACATCCCCAGTAGGGGGTGTGCAGGAGGCAGTTGATATTGATTTTTCTCTCCCATCAATGTTTCTAACTCTCTCTCCCTTCCCCTTCCTCTCTGTAAAAAAAAAATCAATAAAATATATTTAAAAAAATAAAAATAAAAGTACCAAATAAGTTTTAGTTACTACCTGTTTTCATTGGATTATAAATTCTAACATTCATTAAATCATACATTTTAACATTAATGAATGAACTGCTTTAAGTAATAAAGTAGTACTCTTTGATTAAAGGATTCTACAATCCTCAATGACTGAAGAACATATTTCATAGGAATTCTGTACTTTTTACTTCTGTCATGCATTATTAAAATGTTAGGGACTTGAAAGTTTTTCTTGTATTTTACTTATTTGTAATTTTTCTCTTGTCACATGGTTTGAAAGGTACAAAACAAAGATGTCAAAACGTCTTTCCCTCCCATATTTCAATTTTACTTGCTTTAGAACTTCGAGTGCTACTTACAGTTGTAATCTCCTTGCCAGAAATGAGTGTGTGTAGGAAGCTTAAACACATAAGCCTATACATTAGGCTATTTGCATACCATATAAGGCGAATGCTCTTTAATTTCCCAAACTCCTATTAAACGACTTTTAGGTGGTAGAAGCTCTAGGAGAAAGGTGGAATTGATCAGAACTTTTATTTTCAGGCTTTTATTTGAACCAATTTAAAAATAGTGTTAATGCCTTCAGCTAGGCCAGCATGCTTGGAGTGGTAGTAGACCCACCACTCCCTGTTGCTTGTAGTTACCTTTCATGATCATTACCTCCCTGGCTATCTCAATGGGAGACTCAAAGAAAAACAAACACAACCACAGAAAGTTCCAATCTGACCGCCTGGCAGGTCTTGGACAGAATGCATCTCCCTAAGGGCGCTGGCAGTGTGGGAAGCAGGCAGGTGTGGTAATGCCCCCACAGGCCAGGCCCATAGCTGGGAGGGCCTGAGTAGGGGCACTAAGGACTTCTTTTCCTCTGAGTTTTGCTCTAGGAAGACCCTGGTGAAAAGGCCCAGAGAGAATGTTAGAATTTATAATCCAATGAGAGCTAAGGCAGCACCTTTTATACATAACTTCTTGTTTTTGTTTTTCCTGATTGCCCTTCCCATCAGGTGAACACCCAGGATTTCAGAGGGATGGTTCGGGAAGATGCTGTCCTCTACCTGTTAGAAATCCCCAAAGGCGAAATGGTGACCATTTTAGCTCAGAGCCGAGCTGATGGTGAGCAAGTCTGTTCCTGGGTTCAGTGGTGGGAGAGGTTGCGGGGAGGATGAGAGAAGTGTCTTGGGACCAGAAGAGGAAAACTCGGGTATTAAAAATGGAAATGGATTCTAACACCTAATCTTTGGAGGCAAGTTGGGCATCATTTAACTTTCTATAGAAATGTTTGCTATGCACCCACTGAAGTAATTTCACTGGTTTTGTCAGTTTGGAGTATATTACTGCTTTTCTGAACAGTGACCCATCCTTAAGTACTGCCTGGAGTTATTGTTGAGTCTTTCATGTGATGGATACTGAGAGCCCTACCTACTGGTCAGCTCCCACATTAACTCTTAACCATCTGACCTGTTGCTTCACCTTACCAGGTCTCATTGTTTTCACCTAAAGAATGGGAGTTGATAGTGTCTTTTCTGTCTGCTTCAGAGGGTTGATTGACAGCAGGGTCAGTGCTCTCCAGAGAAACAGAACCAGTAGGATGTGTGTGTGTGTGTGTGTGTGTGTGTGTGTGTGTGTGAGAGAGAGAGAGAGAGAGAGAGAGAGAGAGAGAGGTTGATTGATTATAAGGAATTGGCCTACAATTGCATAGCCTGGCAAATCCCAAAATCTATAGAGTGAATGGCAAGCTGGAGACTCAAGAGAACTGATAATTTAGTTTTAGTCCAAGTCCAAACGCTGGCAGGTTTGAGACCTAGAAGGAACTGGTGTTTCTATCTGAGGGTGAAGGCAGGGAAAAGTTGGTGTCCCATTCAAAGGTGGGAAGAGTTTATTTTCTCTAAGTAGTGGTTCATCTTTTTGTTCTATTCAAGCCTTCAACTGATTGGCTAAGGCCCATCCACATCAGAGAGTGCAGTCTGCTTTACTTAGTCTATCAGTTTAAACACCCAGAATAATATTTGACCAAATATATGGGCATCCTGTGGGCCAGTCAGGTTGACACATAAAATTAATCATCAAGGTAGCGCATAGTTTTTTATTCTTCTTCCTATTGGTTCCCGTAGGCCCTATATACTGAGTTTGCTAAGTGGACAGAAGGTAAAGGGGGTGATCAGAAATAGAAGCTGATAACTCTTTAAGAAAAGACCTCTCACTAAGCAGAGGGCAGCATGTACAGCAATGCTCTTGCCTTCCAGTGTACAGAGAGATCCTGGCTTGTGGCAGAGGGGACTCGTTTTTCATAAGGAGCCACTTTGAATGTGAGAAGGAAACGCCGCAGAGCCTGGCCTTCACGCGGGGGGAGATCTTCCGAGTGGTGGACACCCTGTACGATGGCAAGCTGGGCCACTGGCTGGCCGTGAGGATCGGAAACGAGTTGGAGAAAGGCTTAATCCCCAACAAAAGCAGGTATCTGTCTGAGATCACACGATCCCGCACGCCCCTCTTTCACAGTCCCCCCACAGATAAGCCACAGTTCCGCCCTCCTCAAAAAAAAGCTGCACTTGGCTTCACGATTTGTCCTCATCTCCTCTCCCATCATCCTCTACTTCCTGTTTGTGAGGATTGGCCTAGAATGATGAAATAGCCGGCAGCTGGTTTGTGGCTTTGAATGATGTTCTAAGACGTAAGGCGTGTCCACTGCGTTAAGTGGGATGCAAGCAGATGCCGAGTGCTGTAGGAAACCAATCCCTAGGGTCGTGTTGTCCCAGCCCAGTGCCTTTCCCTCATCATCCTCATCCTCATCCTCATCCTCGGCCCCAGAGGACTCATACTGGTTTGCTGCCACCAGGGAGAATAGGCAGGGCACCTGTATTTTGGCCAGGGTTTCAGGTCTGTTGCCTGGATACCAGCCTGTCAGAATGAGCCACGTTTAGTGTGCTCCTTACTCAGCCACTTCTGGTGGATTTCATGGGGACCAAGCCTTTATCCAGCCCCACCGGGAAGAGATAGTCCCACATTTCCCACCTGCGAGACCTCGTCCTTGTCAGGCTGCATCTTCCCGGGTTTATCAGAATGCTGAGGAGACCCGGTGCATCACATGCACACTCGCACATTCCTGGCTCTAGAGCGTTCCTTCTTGTGGTTTCTTCCCTCAGAGCGGAGCAAATGGCCAGCGTCCAGAATGCCCAGAGAGACAACGCTGGGGACAGGGCGGACTTCTGGAGGATGCGTGGCCAGAGGTCGGGCGTGAAGAAGAACCTGAGGAAGAGCCGGGAAGACCTCACGGCCGCCGTGTCCGTTAGCACCAAGTTCCCCGCCTACGAGAGGGTTTTGCTGCGAGAAGGTGAGGGAGCCGTGCAGGGCTAGGATGGGATCTGACGGGGCCGGTCCTTTTTCGTTTTCAGATTGTAATGACTGTCGAGGTTAGGCTTCTATATCCCTGAGACCAAAGCCAGGCTGTAGAGTTGGACTTGTGTCCAAACACTAAAAAAGACAAAAAAGCAAGCTGCACAAACTCATGAATGGCAGCGTATCCATGACCTTGGTTAGTGTTTCATACTGCTGTTCAGTGGCTTTTGCATATTACCTCTAGTGAAGTTTCTCTTTAATAGTAGGGGAATGAAGGCATGTTCTTTAGAGGAGACGTTGGCTGAATTGAGGTGGGAGAACATACAGCTTCTTTCGTGGAGATGTTATCAGTAGCCTATGAAGTACTCTTGCTTCTTATTTTAATGGCAGAGGAGGTGTATGTGTTTTCATTGCCTTTCTTGTCTCATTTCAGCTGGTTTCAAGAGACCCGTGGTGTTGTTTGGCCCCATAGCCGATATCGCGATGGAAAAGTTGGCAAGTGTGTTACCTGACCTGTTCCAAATTGCTAGTAAGTCTGTCCGTGATATTTTTTCTCACCAAATTTTAATTTGAAAATATCTAATATACAGAAAAAAATGAAAAAGTAATAAACACTCACATACATATCTCCTGAAGTCACCAGCACGTATTAACATTTTGCCATATACATCCCCCCCCATCGGCACCACTTAGTCACTTTTTAAAATTTCTGCTGAACAATTAGAAAGTTGAAGTTGTAGACATTGTAACACTTTTTATCCCTGTGAATCTCTTAAGAATAAAGATGTTATCTCCTCTTACACATAACCATGATCACAGTCAGAAGTTTAACATGGATTCAAAGATATTATTTAGTATATAGTCTATTTTTCAAGTTTTCTCAACTTTCCAATTTTCAATTTCATGGCTTATTTTTTAAAAGTCAGAATGCCACCCAGGACCCTGAAACACGCTTGATTTTTATGCCTCTCTAGTCTCCTTTTTTTCTAAATTATTTGGTGACATTGATTCCGTGAATAGTCCAAGCCACTTGTCTCACTTGTGGCCGCTTTCTCATGATTAGATTTCAGCCTAACAGCCTGGATGGGTCCCTCCATTGCCTCTCATTAAGTGGCACCGTATGTCCGATGTCACATCACTGCTGATGCTGGGTTGGAGTGTTTGATCGCCAGTGGTTTCTAAAAAATTATTTAGCTCCTTGTTTTTGCTTCTCCAGAATCAGAGCCGAAGGATGCAGGATCTGAGAAATCCAGTGGGGTGGTGCGGTTAAACACCGTGAGGCAGATTATCGAACAGGTGAGAAAATGAATCCGAAGGCCATGTTGTCAGGAAGAGCTGAGTCATACCAGTAGTTAGCTGCAGTCTTTCTGAGAATGGAGTCTGTATTTTAATAATCGTTAAATGTTAATGATAAAACATGAGTATAAATGCAAGATGTTTCTTTGTGTGGAAACATGAATTCCTGTGGTTGTGATGTGTTTTTCCCCAAAGTTCTCAGCATTGTACCAAAGAACTCTTTTCCTCAGAAATTCTAATAGATTGGTGGTATTAAGTGGACATCCATGAATAGAACCGCCTTCTGCTTTATTATTTAAATTGACAAGTTTTCCTGATTGATGCCACCTGTACTGATTAAGGCCAACTCTTCAATGCTGTGTGACTTTACATGGTATTTACACACGTCTCCCCATTTCTGACAGGATAAGCATGCCCTCTTGGATGTGACTCCGAAGGCCGTGGACCTGTTGAATTACACTCAGTGGTTCCCGATTGTGATTTTTTTCAACCCAGACTCTAGACAAGGTGTCAAAACCATGAGGCAGAGGTTGGATCCAACATCCAACAAAAGTTCTCGGAAGCTATATGATCAAGCCAACAAGCTTAAGAAAACGTGTGCACATCTTTTTACAGGTAAGTGAAATGTAAAATGTACCCTCTTTGCTCCAAAGTGAGAATTATGAGCATTGGAGAATGAAAGCAATTAGAAAATAATCTGAATAGTAATAGAGAATAGTAATCTGAAATATACTACTCATGACTCCTTTAAAAGTAGCTAATCCTATAAAATGGCTCAATGGATAGAGCATCGGCCTGCGGACTGAAGGGCCCCAGGTTCGATTCCGGTCAAGGGCATGTGCCTTGGTTGCGGGCATATCCTCAGTAGGAGGTGTGCAAGAGGCAGCTGATCGATGACTCTCTTTCATTGATGTTTCTAACTCTCTATCTCTCTCCCTTCCTCTCTGTACAAAAATCAATAAAATATATATTTTTAAAAATGACAGAGGAAAGATTATGTATGAACTAGAGGCCCAATGCATGAAATCCGTACATTTTTTTTGGGGGGGGAGGGTCCCTCAGGCCAGCCTGCACCCTCTCACAGTCCAGGAGCCCTCAGGGGATGTCCGAATGACGGCTTAGGCCCACTCCCTCCAGGGAGGCTCCCGCCACTACCGTTATGCTCTCTATTAGTAATAATGTAATAATAATTATTATTACTATTTTTATTATAGTGACAGCTCACAGTGGTTCAGTCTTTCCTGTGCCCTGCCTTTTTGGGCCACAAGGAAGGCCAGGCGACTCTGCAAGGTCACATATTTAGTATATGGTTGAGCCCAGACTGAAATGATAGCATCTCTGAATATGTGTCCAATTCTCTATACATGTTGCAGCACAGGCTTATTTTTCTAATGTTGAAAGGGGTCACCTAGTGCAGTTCCTCCATTGAGCAGGTCATTCATCTATTTAATTGAGGCCCATGTGATTGTGACATGCTCAGCTCTGTCTACTTCATCTCGCCCTCTACTCCTCCTCCGTCACTCAAACTCAAGTCCATTGAATGGCTCGGGCCCTCAGTTGAATGTGGGCTTCAAGTGAGGCTATGAGATACCAGGAAGGGACATAATGGGTTGTAGAGGAAGAACCAGGCTGAAGGGGAGGCCAGAGCAGAAGAAGGAGCCAGTGGCTCTGGAACACTCCCTTTCTCTCCCTTGGAGTCAGCATCATTTGCTCTTTGGAGCATAGACCACGACAGCTGGATGGGTCTGATCGAGGATCTGGAGGAGGCCACACGTAGAGGGTTTAACAACTCCTGATTCAGCCCCAGATAAATTGTGAGATCCTTGAAGGTAGGGTCTACATAGTATCCAGCTCTGTGTGCTGAAGGCCAGCACTGGGCTTAGCCAGTAGGCAAGGCATAACTGTGACTTAATTAGAACTGCCTCTGGCACAACAAACCATTTCTCCCCTAAGCTAATCAAGAAGGACTTAGGGTAACTAAAGTCAGGCTGGCATGGAAACGTAGACACTGTGAACATCTAGTTTCTTCTAGAACTTGGAAGTGACCCATTCTCACCATATGTTTCCAAGCTCTTTAAGGGTAGACGGAGCAGAGTGCCGACTGACTGTAATTAGCAAGCCCCGCTATCTACCACAGGGCCCTGTACAATATTGTCCCAAACTTCCCATTTGACTCTTCAAAGCTGCGTGGATGGTCCCACTAAGCAATTCCTGTTCCCTGTGTCTCACTCGGCCTGACCAGGTTGTGACTAGATTGTGTATGTTGTGGCCAGAAACAGAGGCTTTTTATGATTTTAAATTTATGGCATTTTTGTGAATTAACAAGTAGGAATAGTAGAGCTGCTTTGATTAACATATCCTTCAAAATCAAGAGTTATGTTGCCGGTAGTGTCACTAGACTCAATGTCCTTCTTTTTCCTCGTTGAAAGTAACAAGAAAAGCCCGTCCACAGATGAGTAGTGCTATGACAGTGTTAAAGTGGCTGCCCTTGCAAACTCAAGGTTCTCCTCGGTTAGGCGAAGATGACAAGGGAAGCTTTATTCTGAGATTTTCCCAAAAGCAAGTTAATGTGTCAACGTGAGTTAAAATGTTAGGCTGTCCTTTCCCCCTCCCCATTGAAAGAATGATTGTAGGATACATTTGCATGTATATGTCAACAAGGTTCTTTTTAAAAAACAAAGTTTGAAAATTATATTCCTGGAATTTCTAAAACACCCAGTTCATGGTTTGTGGACCACTGAAGTGGAATTATGGACTTAGAGACCCTAGCAGGGCCACCCTTCGTGCCAAATTGCGGGATTTTTAACGTTCCACAATTTAGGTGCTTTTTATAAGCTTTCATAGGTTTCATTAATGTCACATTTGTGCAGTTCAGCCCTAGGAGTTTGGAAGTACTAAATACATGCGACTGATCATTATTAGTAATATTACTGTATGCTTACTTGATTGTTTTTCAATGTTACATATTATACAAAGATAATTCTGTGTCATTATGTAGTCACTGAAAAGGCTTGGGGGGAAGTGGGTCTTGTGCCAGCTGAAAGCCCGGATCGCAGCAGGCAGATTTTGGTTTCCCAGGGGATTGTAGAGATTGGTGAGCACAGGACACAGATGGAAGATGATGTGCTGTCTGGCTGGGCACCTCAGGTGATGCTTGTCCATTTAGAGGGAGTCTCTGCCACATGAGTAGTTTAATTGAGATTTAATTTACCTACCCTACGATTCATTTATTTAGAATGAAAATTTCAGTGGGTCAGAGTTATACATACAGCCATCACCACAGTCAATTTTAGGACATTTTCATTATCCCCAAAGGAAACCCCATACCCATTAGCAGTCGTTCCCTTGTTTCTTCCCCCAACTCCCACCCCCAGCCTTACATGTCACTTTTTGCTGTTGCTCTTGGCACTTCCTAACCTCCTTGGCTGGGGAGGGAGTCGTGAACCACTCGTGCTGGGGCTGGGAATGGATGCTCCCAGAATCCCAGGACTCGCAGCCACGACAAAGGCTGAGTGATGAGCCTTTCACTGTTTCACTTTCTTGGGTTTGAGAAATGCACTAAGCCTGTTCACAGGAACATACTGGTCCAGAGGTTGGGAGCAACAAGAATTAACTAATGCTGTTAGAAATCAAAGGATCTGAAAAACATAATGAGCAAAAGCCAACAGTCAACCAAAGGTATTAATTCCAAAGAAAGGAAAGGTAGCATCGTAGTTGTGCACACACCCATTAAAAAGCGGACCAGTGCATGTGATGGATGTTACCTTTATCTGGAGCTTAGGAAATCAGCTACAGTGAAGTCTTTTTTCTTTTCCTTTTTTTTCACATACTTGATTCAATGTGAATTGAGTAAAAGATTTTGTGACCTTTTTCATTTTATCAGGGGTCATGAACATATATTGTTTCATAAATGGCCTTTTAAATATATATATGAAGGGAAGGGAAAGGGAGAGATAGAGGTAGAGATAGAGATAGAGATAGAGATAGAGAGAGAGAGAGAGAGAGAAACATCAATGATGAGCCGAAACTGGTTTGGCTCAGTGGATAGAGTGTCGGTCTGCGGACTGAAAGGTCCCAAGTTCGATTCCGGTCAAGGGCATATACCTTGGTTGTGGGCACATCCCCAGTAGGGGGTGTGCAAGAGGCAGCTGATCGATGATTCTCTCTCATTGATGTTTCTAACTCTCTATCCCTCTCTCTTCCTCTCTGTAAAAAATCAATTAAAAATCAATCAATAAATAAATAAATAAATAAATAAATAAGAAACATCAATGATGAGAGAGAATCTGTCTCCTGTATGCCCCCACATTGGGATGAAGCTTGCAGCCCGGGCATGTGACTTCCTGGTTTATAGGTCAGTGCTCAACCACTGAACCAAGCTGGCCAGGCATAAATGTCCTTTTTTAACTAGGTTTTCATACAGACTGTACTCATTTCATACAACTCCAACTTAAAGCTCAGAAAGGCATGTATACATTTAGTGCAGATCTCATATTTTGTCTCTGGGGTGTGCAATTCTACTTTTATATCAAGTAATACTTACAGTATCATGCCTTACCCAAGAACACAGTAATGTTGGCAAAGTACCATGATAAGGATGCAAAAGTCCAAGGGATCAAGGTTAATTTTTTTGAGTCGTCCAAATGTATCAATTTATTCTAATGCTATAAATAATGAATGACCACGTAAATTGCCAGCTCGCTCAGGAATTTCCAAGGTCAGTGCTACAGCTTCTTAAATGAGATAATGGTATATGTTACCTGGAAGAAGGCTTGCAGCTAGTTGCCTACAGAATTTGCTTAGTGCTGCTTTTCTGGCTGTCTATCTGGAATTAGGCAGACCTCAGGACAGAGGGAGCAGCGTGCAAAACGACTTTCACCATCAAGAAAAGGCTATGACCTTGTAGCTTGAAAAAAAATTCTAATTTCCCTGTAGTATGATCAGTTTAGGCCCAGTTAAATTTATTATTTGGGACAAATGTGCTTCTCCGGTGTATGCCCCTTAGGCCCGTAAATACCTATGGCTGAAGAACGATTTGCATGTGCTTTCTGTGGTTGGTATTTCCTCTTGGTGGTCTGAATTCATGTTGTTAGGTGGGCCGTGTCCTGCATTGGCTAAGGCCATAGGATCTAAAAGCAAACTTCTGAGTTCGTATCTAGACGTCTTCACTTATTCAGTGTGAGGCCTTGAGCTGGTTTCACTCTTGTGCCTTAGTTTCTGTTCTGTAACATGGGGGTGACAGCCTACCTACCTCACCAGGTTCGTGTGCGCATGAAATGAGCTAATCCATGCCAGGTATTTGTAACGTGTGTGATCAATCCATGGCAAGTGCTGCCGTGTAAGACACATTCTCTTCTGAGTAGAAAATGTATGTTACTTGAATGTATACCTGTAGAGCTTGATGAATCTGTATGCCTATTCTAAAATGTGTAAGTCTATCAAAGTGATATACATTTAAGTATTACCTTCAGTATTTTATTGGAGATGTCCAACAGCACACTCTTGTACAGTTTTCTTCTTTATAGTATACATGTCTATGCAATGGTCTTTAAAGTATGGTACTTTTAAATCTGTCTTAGGTGTGTTTTCTTTGCTCCTGAAAATATACTCTTTAAAAACATATTTTTAAAGGTAGCTTTTCTGAAAGATAGACAATCTGAAATTCATTCATTCATTCATTTTTTAGGTTTATGGCATCCAACTAAAGGGATTTAACATTCAAATATGTGCAAACGTTCTCTTGCATTTGCCAACGTTTTAGTTCAGATATGACAGAAATGAGTATGAATAATGCCAGATAAATTTTTGAGTAAACATTGCTTTGGAAATTGATGCAAACCTTTTTGCGTACATCTCTATAGCAACCATCGACCTAAATGCAGCCAATGATAGCTGGTTTGGCAGCTTGAAGGACACAATTCAGCACCAGCAAGGAGAAGCAGTTTGGGTCTCTGAAGGAAAGGTATGTGGCATAGATACTCTGCTGCGAGGTGAGAGTCCGTGTTTTGAACCTTTTCTCCAGAGGGTAGTGAATGTAGTAAAGCCATGCCCATTTGAAAGGATGCCAACCTATGTGCGAATCAAGCTTGCAATTTTATAAATTCTCCTAAAAAGCAATAAAGCGAAGGGGCTTTTAGAAGAAAAGCAGAACGTGATACGTGCAACCCTACATTCACTCCCCTTTTCCTTTTAACGTAGTAACTAGTATTGTATTCCAAGCACACTAATCAGAGCTTACAAGATCTCGAGCTGAGCTTCACAGCTTACTAAGAATGAGGGAAGCTCAGCGTGGAGGTGAGAGACAAAGTTGAGAGGTGCTTAAAAATTAATGGAAAGAGGAAAAGCAAATGGAGGTGGGACCATTTGCTTCAAGATTGGCAGAGAACGGGCCCTCGGCATCTGAGTGGGTGAGAAGAGAGCATTAGGAAACGTGGGCAGGCTTCTGAAAGTGGCTAGCTTCTCCCCTGCGGACGATGTTGATCACAGCTCTGTGCAGGGAAGATGCAGAGAGAGAGAGAGTATAGAATTGCCTGTGGTTCCAGGAGCCTCTGGGGATAGTCTTGTGTTATCCAGCTGGATTGAGGTAGCCGAGAGGGACAGTTTCCTTGTGGAAATGAGTCCATTACCCATGAGATGGTTGAGCCCTAGTCTTGCGTTTCGGAAGCTGCACGTTCAGTCAGGGTGTCTAGCATCTCCTGAGTGCGCACAGCCCACTAAGGCTCTAAGACAACAAGTTGAGCAGGTCAGAGGTTCTGCCCTCAAGGATTTGATAACCTTGTGGCTGCGCAAAGAGGTGTGCAGCACCAGGCATGTATCGCTAGGAGACCAGTGCCAGCCGAAGAAGCTGAAGAGAAGCCCGGTTCTGGAAGACCAAGCCCCGCCGTCTGAGGAGGCATGGCTCAGTAGCGCTGTATAAGATGGCTGGTGGCAAAGGCAGATAGGGTGGAGGGTTCCTAAGTTGAGTCCCTGGCCAAACACGAACCCAGTCATTTCCAGCCAAGTGATCTCAGGAAAGTAGAGTTGACTTCACTTGGCCGTGCCCTCGGGCGTTTTCTTGAGTCCCCGCTCCCAGGAGCCATGTCACACCCACTGACCCTCCAAAACGAATTCCTCTAGATGGAAGGGCTGGACGATGACGCTGAAGACCGCATGTCCTACTTAACCGCCATGGGCGCGGACTATCTGAGTTGCGACAGCCGCCTCATCAGTGACTTTGAAGACACCGACGGCGAAGGAGGCGCCTACACTGACAATGAGCTGGATGAGCCGGCCGAGGAGCCGCCGGTGTCTTCCATCACCCGCTCCTCGGAGCCGGTGCAGCACGAGGAGGTGAGGCAGCGAGGCAGGCCCCGGGCCGCGAGGCCACGGGCAGGACGCGGAGGTTCTGGTGTCTCCCTGGAACGCTTCTGGACAACCGTTGGTTCCGGGTGCCGTGGAAGGCGTTCCAAAGGGTTGAAACAGATGACGCGTAGGGAGGCTCTCCTTCCCAGGCCATGCCTGCGTGGTTGTGAGTAGGGGTCCCTGGGGAAGCAGGACAGGAGGAACTAAGGGGCCTTGGACGTGATGGACACACTGAGATGCTTTGTGGGCTGGCTGTCCAAATTGCAGGTGGAACATTATTTTTAAAAGACAATATTGTTGTATTTGCTTGTAACCTTTGATTAGGCCTCTCTGTACTCTTAGGTACGTATCCCTGCTTTTTCTTCTCCGTCCTCCCTTTAACCTCTCTGATCTTGCCAAAGCTCCTGAGTGTTTCCCCATCAGTTTCCTTCTCCTGTATTTCAATTTTTGAATTGAATTCACGATCAAAACACACGGTCATGTGTACTGTGCATCCACCGGCCCGTGAAGAGACGGCTTCAGTGATTCTAGAAGTCACATCCTCAGGCACTGAGTTAGGATCAGAGCAGTTATTAGCTGTACCTCAGAGAACATTAGGATAATGACTTTGGAGATGGAGATTATCCATATTTTTGGATAATGAAGGCTATGGACTGCCAATTAGCAACTTCACTCATTTCAGGGAATGATTTTATTCTTTGTGAAATAGAAGTACCAAAAATTAAGGTGAAGGATAGTGGGATAAAACCCACCATGACAAAAAAAAAAAATTATTATATAACACTGGACCAGTTGTAAAGAATAAACTAACTCCTTCTATAGATACAGATAGCGAATGCTTAAAAATTCTAAAAGCTTTAAGGGACAAAACAGATTTTAGACTTTTTTGTACTTTAAAGGGGAGACTCCTACACTGGATGCATCTCGTTAGAAAAACTTATCTTAACCATTTGCTCATGGGAACATGCCTGGTTTCTCCTTTTCATTTTTTATTTTTATTTTTAAATATATTTTATTGATTTTTTACAGAGAGGAAGAGAGAGGGATAGAGAGTTAGAAACATTGATGAGAGAGAATCATCAATCAGCTGCCTCTTGTACACCCCCCACTGGGAGATGTGCCCGCAACCAAGGTACATGACCCTGACCGGAATCGAACCCAGGACCTTTCAGTCCGCAGGCCGACGCTCTATCCATTGAGCCAAACCGGTTTTGGCATGTTTCTGCCTTTTTCAGTACAGAAGCACCGAGTCAGTGTCTCAACGTATGCCAGTGAGAGATTTTTGTGGAAGGTGTAAACCTCAAAATTCTGAACTCACACAAGTGCTTGGGACTCCAGCAGAGCAGGCGAGAACTCTTTTCTCTCTGCTGCGATGTTCTTGTTGTGAATGAACCTTTGTGTCTCGTAGAGCATAAGGAAGCCCAGCCCAGAGCCACGAGCTCAAACGAGGAGGGCTGCTAGCAGAGATCAACTTAGGGACAGTAGTCCACCCCCGGCATTCAAACCAGAGCCGCCCAAGGTATGTGTCTGGGAAGCCCAGGATGGGAAGGAAGCGGAGACAGCCCTGGAGCTCCTGGCCAGGGAAGAGCACACACAATAAGATGGTGTTGAATTGTGTTTGTAACACACTGTTTCACTCTTAGAACCTGCCTTTTGGCCCCCAAAATTAGGGAAGGGAGAAAAAAATAGGAAGGAGGGAAAGGAAGTTTTAGGAGCATGGACAATTTTAAAACAGCATTTTTAAATTATTTAATTGATGGAGGAAGAGAAAGGTTTGACAAATCCTGCATGCCCAGAATCACCAAACTCAGACTGTTTTTCTGTACAATTAGAGTTTTCTGCCCACAACCTGACTCAGATTCACCGTTAAAATCCTTACTGGTGATTGGCTAAAGAAAACCACCACCACCGTTGTAAACAATGCCTCTAATTATGAGGGCAGCTTAATTTATTTTTTAAGACATCATCCAGGGAAAAAAAAAATCAACATAAGAACCCCTTGGGTGTATGTCATATGATTCTTTTATCCCTTTCCGAATCAAAGCTATGACTATAGGTTTTTCCTTATAACCCAATGACGTGTGTCGATCTCAATAGTTTAGATGAGAAGAAAGTAATAAATGGTCGTGTGAGCTATCAGAGGTAATTAATGACCTAATAACACTTATCAATGAACACTTACAAGCAGGCCTAAGATCCAAGCATCCAGGTAAAGTGGCCACAAACATAATATGTCTTCCCTACTCCCTACACCAATCTCATTTCTGGCCTCACCTCCGAGCCAGGGCCTGGACTCAAGAATCCACTTTTGGGTCCTGAAGTCTGATTGGTTCTGAGGTCTGTTCCAAAATGTTAATCTTCCCTAATCTTCCCACATTCAGTCTGATCTACCCCTCGCACGTGCAGGGCTCCTGGCACTTCCCAGCATCCTCCTGGTTTGCAGAACTCTCAGTGCTCTTCTGTAGGAAGCGAGGAAGGGATCGGGATGCCCGGCCAGTGGCTGTTGTCCCTCCCCTATTTGATTCTTTGTTGACCTCCTATGGAAACTGATCAGGAAAATGGAGTATATTAAATCACTAATATCGATGTGACACTAAAACGAAAGCCTGAGGTAAAAATATGCCATTGCTCACTTCGCAGGCCAGGGCCCAGAAGAGAGAAGACTCCTTTGACTACTCCAGGGCCTATGAATACAGGCCAAGCTCCCCTCCAGCTGTGGCCGGTAACGAAATTCCCGGGGCTTCTGCCAAGGGTCCTCCTCCTCCTATTGCAGCAAAGCCTGCCGTCTGCAAGCCTATATTGAAGCCCTCCATTCCAGTCCTTCCCCCCGAGAGCGAGGAGGCAGGGGAGGGCAGCGAGGAACAAGATAATGCTCCCAAGTCTGTCCTGGGCAAAGTAAAAATATTTGAGAAGATGGATCACAAGGCGAGACTCCAGAGAATGCAAGAGCTCCAGGAAGCACAGAACGCAAGGGTAATTGTTTCGAACCACTGGGTTACTTCTGCATGCCAACAATAGGAATTTTAAGTAAATTTCATTTCAGTAAAACACTTCAGTCCTTTTTCCACGGCACACACATAAAGGGGATATTTGCATGCCTGGTTCTAAAGGCATGTCCTCGGTGTGTGTCACTTCCAAATTGTCAGCTCTTGGTGCATGCCTTTTCTTTCTAATTAAGAAAACCTAATGGTGTAGGTCAGTGGTCGGCAAACTCATTAGTCAACAGAGCCAAATGATGTTGTACAACGATGGAAATTTCTTTGGAGAGCCAAATTTTTTAAGCTTAAACTTCTTCTAACGCCACTTCTTTAAAATAGACTCGCCCAGGAAGTGGTATTTTGTGGAAGAGCCATACTCAAGGGGCCAAAGAGCCGCGTGTGGCTCGAGAGCCGCAGTTTGCCGACCACTGGTGTAGGGGAATAAGATTCTGCTTTTTGTATTTCAGAGCTTTATGCTGAGCTCTGGAGAGTGAAAGTGAGACAAGAAAAGCAGTGCCTCCCAGAAGTTATTTTTTTTTTTTTGTTAAAACATTTGTTATGTTTGTTTGGTACCTGAGCTTCCATTTGCTCCTAGATTTGCCTTAGAAACCTAGTGAATGCCGGTGACAATGAAACTTAGGCAATGAAATTTTACCACGTGCTACAACATGAATGAACCTTGATTTTTTACAGAGAGGAGGAGAGAGGGAGAGATAGTTAGAAACATTGATGAGCTGCCTCTTGCACACCCGCTACTGGGGATGTACCTGCAACCACGGTACATGCCCTTGACCAGAATCGAACCCGGGATCCTCAGTCCACAGGCCAACTTTCTATCCACTGAGCCAAACCAGTTTCGGCTTCCTCTCTCTTTTTAAAAAATCAATAAACTATTTTTTTTTTAAATAAATAACATAATATTTACCATTTGAATTGGTAAATATTATGTTAATTGTATAACATAATATTTACCATTTGAATCACTTTTAAGTGTTCATTGACAGTTAAGTACATTCACGGTCTTGTGTAACTATCTCCACTCTTCGTCTCCAGAACGTTATCATCCTTCATAACTGAAACTCTGTACATATTAAATTATTAAACCGTTACTTCCCATTTCATACACACCTCCATCCCTCCCTGGTGACCGTTCTATTTTTCCCCCTGTCATTGTGACTACACTGGCAACTTCACGTACGTGGAATCATATAATCAACCTTTTGTGACTGGCTTCTTTCACTTAGTACAACGTCCTCAAGGTTCATTCATGTGGTAGCACGTGGTAGAATTTCATGGCCTAGAACGTTTTGCCTATTTGTACCACTAGGCATCACACAAAAGCATGGAAACTAAAGCTGCTTCTGTTTTTTCTCTTCTCCTTAAAGTGGGATTGGAAAATGGGACCAGCAGGAAATTAGCAAGCTGATTGTGTAGTGATTCATCCTTTCCCTCTTTTTTACTTTTATTTTCTTAATTACCACAGATTGAAATTGCGCAGAAGCATCCTGATATTTATGCAGTTCCGATCAAAACCCACAAGCCGGAGCCTGGCTCGCCCCAGTTCACAAGGTGAGGGCTGCTCAGCAGGTGTAGGTCTGCCAGAGGGGCTTACCTGGGACCTGGCCTCCTGGGGAAGAATTTTCTTCACCTGCATTTCAAAGTACCTGGAAGATGTTTTCCCTCCTGGTCAGCAATTTGCCCAATTTATTTAGATAAATTTAATTGTACATATTATAGCGTCAGTTATTCATGGCAATGTTGCGTGTGTGCTAAAACTTTTAAGTCAGTTTCCCTTGACATGTTGGAGCACAGATATGTTAAATTGTGTCAGGATAGCCCATGAGCAAAATTCTTGGGACCCACTTCGTTTTGTTGCTACTGTTTTCTGGCTGTTAGCCAAGCTCCCCTTAATTCCTTTGCATCACCTAGCTCCATGGTGGGCAAACTGCGGCTCGAGAGCCACATTCGGCTCTTTGGCCTCTTGAGTGTGGCTCTTCTACAAAATACCATGGCCTGAGTGAGTCTATTTTAAAGAAGTTGTGTTAGAAGAAGTTTAAGTTTAAAAACTTTGGTTCTCAAAAAAGAAATTTCTATCGTATAGACTCTGTTGACTAATGAGTTTATCGACCACTGCCCTAGCTGAACTGTGGTCTGAAGAGAAGGTGACAGTCAATTGGCTGTGGAAAAGATGCTGCATTTAAAAGTTGCTGCATAAACACTAGGAATTACCACAGTGTCTTCCCATGGAGGTTTTACACTGGATCATTTCCTGCTTCCGAAAATTGGCCAAATATATGTGTGTGTATACACACACACACACACACACACACACATATATATAACTTCTTGTGGCTATTCTGACAAGAAGCTAGAGTCTAGATTTACAGCAGCAGAAAAGTAGGGGCAAATTTCTTTACCAATCCAACAGTGGCGCTTGAGGCCAATAAACTTAGGGATGGGGAAGGCGCCCCCTGGTCCAGCTGAGAATTATTAGGCCAAGGAACACCTGGATGGCTCCCTCCCTCTCTACCCAGGTGGGCATCGCCTTGACCTGTTACTCCCATCCCCACTCCAGGAACCTGCAGTGGGGCCAGGAGGGCTCCTGGTTTGTCCCTCCCTACAGAGTGTGGCTCCGAGGTAAGCAATCTACCTCGGGTGACTGCCTGCTGTGCCTCTGACCCTCCCACCGTTTTTGTTTCAGACCCCTGGTACCCCAAAAGAGTCCCTCCGCACTCTACCAGGATGCCAGAGGAAGCTACAGCAGCGATGTGGAGGAGGAGGAATACCGCCAGCAGCTGTCAGAACACTCAAAGCGGGGTTACTACGGCCAGCCTTCCCGATACCGGGATACCGAATTATAGATGTCTGCAAATTGGCTCTGCTCTACCCTGACGTCACCACCTCAGAGCAGCACTCCTGCAGAGCCGTGGATGGTTCTGTCCTGCTAAAATGCTCTGTGGAGATGCGGGGAGGACCCAAGCTCCCACTTCCTCGTGGGGAGCCCAGGGGATAACCCACACAGGTTCAGAACTGTGAAGGCTCTATCTGTGGGACTGGGTCTGGGGGAGTTTGTGGCTTTTGCTCAGAATTAAGGGAGAAACTTACATTTGATGCCGTTCCCTGCTTCAGTGGACCAAAATCTGTATTAATTGTGTTTGTGTATTTTTTAACATGTATATTAAGAAGTGATAACTATTTTTCATTAATAGCTATATTCAAGGACTATTTCAGTCTGAGACAGAATGTGAAAAAAAAAAAAGGAATAAAAATACTGTCGGACTCCAACTAAATTCAAAGAAGTATTTTATTACAACGCTAAGTGCCTTTGATGAGACGTGTCTTAAATGTTCTTCCTTTGAAGCTTTATGCAAAGCCATAAAGGACTAGAACGTGGTGACTAAATTTTATGCCAGTTTAAGAGTTATGGTTTTCCCTGCACTGTGCCCTCTTTTTGAGTCATCTGTCTTTTTTAGTATTTTCCATAAATTCGGACTGTATATAATAGCTTATTTTTGGTTGTTTGGCTACCAGTGCTAAGGGGCTTGAAGACCAAGAAAATGGTATAGAAATGTTTTGTTTGTGCTCCACAAAAGCACATACTTGAGACAAACACATTTTCCCCCCAAAAGTGTATTGACAACAGTTTTATAATTTAATAAAAAGGGGGACATTGCAATCAATAACTGGCTTTATGGTGGATTTCTGCACTAATTCCTTTTTTGTTAAATGCAACTTTAATGACCATAAAAGTGAGCACGTGCCCATTGTTGAACACTGGAAAATGGAGACATATAAAAACAAAATAAAAATTACCCATAATCCCATCCGTCAGATAATTTTGGTTCATTTCTTCCAATTGTATATTTGTGGATGTCTGTGTGTGTATTTGTGTTGTAATTGTGTTTGCAGTTCTTTTCTATTAAACATTCTGTCACGAACATTTCTCTCAGGTAGTTAAAACTCATGCAAACATCATTGCTAATAACTAAAGTAATACGTTGTACTAAGTACACAGTTTTGCTATGGTTGGCTGTTTGGATTGTTTCCAGTTTTTGCCTCTTTTACGTGAACTATATCCCTTTGTATATAATCCATTTTTGTACATCAGAGATCAGCATTTCAGTCCCTTTCTGCAGGTAGGTTCTCAGAAGTGGAATTACTAAACAAAAACGTAGCAACATGTTTCAGGTTCTTCTTTTTATTGCCAATTGCTTCCTAGAAAAGTTGCCTTGGTTTATACTCCTACAGTCACCCTTTAAAGGCTAAAATGTTGTGTGTTTAGAATTTAAGCAAGACAGCCTAGGAATTTAGGCTTGCATGGATCCAAAGTACACGAATTTGGGAAAGGAAAAGAGTCAGTTCCATTAAGGGTCCTTGGTCATATTAGCGGGCACCAAGGTGTTCAGCTGGTGATTTAGTTGAGTTAGAAATTTGGCTTACTCATAACTGAGTGAGCCTTGGTGGTGTCTCTATCCATACGGGTGCTATGATTCATAAACCACTTAGTGCAGTACCTCACATTTCTGAGCAGTCCTGCGGGCCCTGACTCAACTCTGCTTATTTAGTAAATAAAAGCCATCTCTTGATAGAAAAAAAAAAAAAAAAAAAAAAAAAAAAAAAAAAAAAATATATATATATATATATATATATATATATATATATATTAGTAGATACATGGTGATTTAATTCGCTTATGCCCTTTAATTACAGGAAAGAGCCCTTTTGCAAACGTAGGGACAGGAAGAGAGGGGGAGGCTTCAGTAGGAAGGAGCCCGGCTGTCATCTGGCTCCAGCACTTTTTTCGATGCCTGCAGTGAAGCAGACAGGCAGGACCTGTGTTCCAGAATGTCCTCTAGTGTGCCCGATGGACAGCCTGTGCCTGCCCCACCCCTTTCTAATTCATAGTCTGCTTTATTCTGGGAAGGATTGAAGGCTGCCTAAAATTTATGTGGAGTAGAATTAAGAAAAAAAAAAAATAGATGTGCCCGGCTGGTGTGACTCAGTGGTTGAGCCTCGACCCCCATGAACCAAGAGGTCAAGTACGTTCCTGGTCAGGGTACATACCCGGATTTCAGGCTGGATCCCAGGCTGGATCCCTGGTGGGAGCATGCAGGAGGCACCTGATCGATGATTCTCATCATCCATTTTTCTATCCATTTCCCTTCCTCTCTGAAATCAATATTTTAAAAGGATGCTAGGAGCATGAGGGAAAGGAAAATATCAAAATAGGAAAGTCAAAGCCACAGGTGAGGGTAGTGTTCACTATGCATGCTGTCAGGGTTCCTCTGCTTTCTCGAGGCCACTGTGGGCACAAGGCTGGTATGCAACTTGATTCAGGATGTCCCTGAGGGGAAAGTTGTTAGAGCATTTCCTCCCACCCCTCATTAGTTTTATTCCATGGGGTCTTAGGTTGCATCATGCAGTTATGGACACTTCAAGGATGATTTTGGTGGTCCATTTTTTCACTGTGTCTTCCCTGTAGGGCAGTAGCACAATCCAAGGACCACTCAGTAAAAGTTCCGGAGAGGCTGGTGTGGTTAAGCCATGACCTACGAACCAGGAGGTCATGGTTAGAGTGCCAGCCAGGACACAGGTGCAGGCTGTGGGCTTGATCCCCAGAGGCAGCCCATCCAAGATTCTCTCTCATCATGTTTCTAACTCACCCTCTCCCTTCCTCTCTGAAATCAATTATATATATTTCTATAGAAAGTACCCAAAGCTACAAATGTAGAAACACCACTCTGCAGTCCAGCCTAACCTAACCCAGAGATCAATGCTATAGTAGCCAGAACCAAACGCCTCCCAAATAAACAATATGACATGCCTGAAACCCCAAGGGAAAGTTGTATCCATCATCCTGGAAAAATCAGATTGGCAGTGGGGTGGGGAAAGCGGTGCACAACTTGGTGTCCATCCCTCAGTAGTGGACTGTTCCCCTCAACCCCGATTTTGTTTGGTGAATGAACGGCTGCAATGTGGGCGTGCTGGGGCAGGTCTTCATTTTGGCGGCAGACTCCAAGACCAGGCTTTGAGCGGAAGGCGTTTGTTTGGGACAGTGGACGGCAAACTCATTAGTCAACAGAGCCAAATAGCAACAGTACAACGATGGAAATTTCTTGGGAGAGCCAAATTTTTTAAACTGCTTCTAACACCACTTCTTCAAAAATAGACTCGCCCAGGCCGTGGTTATTTTGCCGAAGAGCCACCCTCAAGGGGCCAAAGAGTTGCCTGCATGTGGCTCGCGAGCCGCAGTTTGCCGACCCTGGGTTTGGGAAATCCAAGGAAGTTCCACCTGGTGAAAACAACATCTAATCTGGCCCAGACACGCAGGTGAACCTGGTAAAACACGTGCCTTGGGTTTCCCGCCCAGGCCTGGGGGCGGGGCTATTACTCACCAATGGGTGTCAGGCTCTCCAGGCAGCTCTGTGTGCGCATGCGTGCCTGTGATGGTGCAGGAGGGTGTCCTCGCCGCCCGCCCTCAAGCAGAGGCCAAGGGGCAGGTGAAAGGCTGGATGGAGCCCCCAGCGGTGCGAGGCCGAGGCCGAGAGTGGAGTTGCTCCGACACTGATGGTGATTGGGCTGTGCATCCACCCAGGCCTCCAAGGTGAGAGGTTTTTCTGTATCGGGGCTGGCGTGGACTGGGAGAGTCTGGAGGAGCCGGAGGATTATCCCCGGGGAGAAGGGAGGGGAGTCTCCATGCCCATGTGAGTGGGGTTCTCTAGAGAAATGTCTCCCCTACTCAGTGACTTAATCTGAAACCCAAGTGGCTTCCCCTGGGGATGGAAGGGGTGTTAGGGAATTGTTTGGCCCATCTGATGTTGGAGCTTGGTAAGTACAAAATCTGCAGGCGGAGGCCCAGGGAAGGTTCTGCTCTGCTCTGGGAAGGTTCTGACTCAGGCTTTCCACTGATGTGATAAGGCCCATCCACTGATGGAGGACAATCTGCTTTACTCCAAAGCCACCAATTCAGATATTACCCTCACTCCCCAACACACCCTGTAGAAAGATCCAGAATAAAATTTGACCAAATAATGTGCTCCCTGTGGCTTCCCCCAGACAACTTGACAGTAAAATTAACCATCACAATACCCCATCTCCGTTACCTCACAGGCCAGCACTGCAGCCCTACTTCTTTCCAGTGTTCAAGTGTGAATGAATGAATGAATAAAGGAAGGAAGGAACCAAGCTACGGGAGAATTACATATATTCACAGGTACAGATTTTATGATAAATTTATAAACTTTACATATTTACATATTTATATTTTATTTTGAATAAAGAGTAAATTTAATTTTAACGGGTAGAAAATCTTAAAAATTAAAACAAAAATAAGAGATTCAAGAATTATAGTTGAGAAATCCCAATAAAATAAATTATTTGATATTTAAAAATAATATTCAGTGAAATAAGTGAAATTAAAATAAAGACTATGGCTCTGGCCTGGTAGCTTGTGGGTTTTAAAGCATCATCCTGATATGCCAAGATTGTGGGTTTGATTTTCAGTCAGGGCACATACAAGAAGCAACCATTGAATGATTAATAAGTGGAACAAAAATTAATTTCTCTCTTTCTTCCCCTCCCCCACCCCTTCCTCTCTCTCCCTTTCCCCTCTTCTTTCTCTTCTTCTCCTTCTCCCTTCGTCTCTCTCTCTAAAAATCAATAAAGTATGTGCATATAAATTCCCTGGTTAACCTCTCCCTACTCACCCACCTACCCCTGCCTTACCCATATATTTAGAAAATGTTGTTGTAAAAGTGGAATGAATGGAGATGTGAATTGGAATGCAATGTCTGTCTTTTATCACAAAAGCAGGGCAGTGATAAAAGACATGCCCAATTTAAACTTCAACATACCGCTGATA